ACCGTTATTTTTACCGCTCCAAAAGCGGCACCTAGTGGCAAAGAATGAATTAGCATTTTCATTCTGACCAACGCGAAAAGACCAACAAGTGGGCGGGCAATATGCTAATGTTTCATGTTGACGTCAACATGAAACGGCTTGGGATTTGTTTTAAAAACGACTCGTTTAATGATTCAGAATCGACTTTTTCTTTTGAGAGACAATTACTTTATACACGGTGCACTTTCAGATTTAAAACTTTGCAGGATGTTTTCATTCACTTCGAGCTGTGTTACGCACTGCATGAAAGGTAATTTTCAAAAATCCATAATAGGGGCACTTTAATTAAAAAGAAAAATGTAAAATATATGAAAAAATTCATACATACAATGGCTTGAATACACCTCTTCTATGACAACCTTGTTTTACATTTCTGAATTAAAATTAATTTTGATATTTTTGGGGGTGGGGGTATGAAGTCAAAAATATCAGGGCCATACACATGTCCAGAAATCATATTGAAGAAAAAAATTGTTTTAATATAATGCATGTTTCTTTAAATGATAATGAGCTCTGGTCACCCCGCCCCTCGTGTTACCATTAAAAACAAAACGAATCCACTATGTCCTCAGTGGATCTGATGTTGGGAGACAATAAAGACTCTTATGTTCACTTTTACATCCAACTACAAAACACCTGCATTGCTTACGAGACATTGTTGTCGCTACAGCCTCTTAAACGCGAAGAAAATGGCGGACACCCCGCCCCTCGTGTTACCATTAAAAACAAAACGAATCCACTATGTCCTCAGTGGATCTGATGTTGGGAGACAATAAAGACTCTTATGTTCACTTTTACATCCAACTACAAAACACCTGCATTGCTTACGAGACTGTTGTCGCTACAGCCTCTTAAACGCGAAGAAAATGGCGGACAGCGTACAGGTGGCTGAGGGCAGAAATATGCTAATACAGGACAGTCCGTTAGCGGTCCTGGGCGGGGCCTGAACAGTATGATGTCATACTGCTCAGAAAATCAAAACGCTTAAAAATTGAGACTGTTTAGGTTTTTTGAGGATTAAGAAATAGGAGTGAATGTATTTTTATCATTGTAGGGTGGTTTGTGTCCACACTGCTAAGACACATTTATATGCAAACACCATGTACTGTAAAAGTGAATTTTGCATCCGATGTCCCCTTTAAGAACTTAAATGTTGGGAACATGGGTTTAAGAACTTTTCCTTTTCTTTACTGTAGACACAGAATGTATTGTATTTTAAACAGAATGTGTTTTAAATTATTAAAATCTGAAGTAAGAGCATCTTTTTTTTTTTGGGTTCTCAGAAATATCACAAATTGAGTTTCTCTGTGAGCTGTTTGACCCTTGCACTCCTGAAAATGATGCACATGTGTGTACTCCGGCTGAACCTCCATGTGAGACAGAAAGGATAAATGCCAGCAGTCAAAACATACATGGTGACGGCTGGTATCTGTGTAAGACTGAAATGGATCTGCAGCTTCTCTACAACAATACCTCACAGTCAGGTGGAATGTATATTATATTATATTATATTATGTTATTGTCTACAGTAATAACCAATAATAGTAACTGTGTGCATGTTGTACATTTCATAGGAGAGCATGAAAAGGTGGTACTGACAATGAAGGCAGGCAATCTCTCTGGATGGAACATTAGTGTGTTTGCATTTCTCAACAACACTGATCTGTACACTGGACCCCAAAATGACCAGAGACTCTTCTACTGCTACCTCCCACCAGGCGACAGCAAATGTCCAGATCTGGACATATCTATGCATGAAAACACCAGCACTCCGACACAAGACACCTCGATTTTAAAAACCATTACTTCTGCAAACCCAGCCGCCTCTTCGCTCAAAACAACTACACTATCTTTCCAAGCAACAGCTTCTACGAATGAGCTGAAGTGCCAACCAACCAGCAGCAGCAGTTTCCTCTTTTACTACCAGGAGCAAAATGAAACAGCAAGATCAGCTGCATTTCCAGCGACGCAAACAAGAAGAGGTGAGAAACTGTCAGAAAACTGCTGTCTGCAACAATGCTCTGCTATACAGAAGACAAAAGACAATAAACCTGACCTTGACCTTAAGTCTAAGTCTATCTTTTCTACTTCTCAAGCAACATTGCACTTTTAGCATTTCCAATCTTTTTTTATTTTTATTTATTTAATGATTTAGTTTCAGGACAAAAGTTCAGAAAGCAAATACGTGAGGAACAGGAAGAAGATATACATGCAGAGATACATACAGACATTTACTGTAGATCCTTGGGCCTGCACTATACTGTATTACAGTATTATATTTTATATGTTTGATATATTGATATATGATATATATTCATTCTGACATTAAAATGTACGACAACAGTCAGAAAAAAAACATTTATTAAAATATATATATATATATATATGGTTTTTCTGTTGTTGTATATTTTAAAATCAGAATATATAAATAACAGCATCTGGATTTTTCTTGGACTTTTCATAGCACATTTTGTAAAAAGTAAATGAATAAATAAAAATAAATAAATAAATATACTAATAACAACAACAACAATAATAAATTAGAATAAATTATTTGGAACATATATTTACAATATGTATCAAATACATATTATTCCTAAAACATACTTCTGCCGTGACTCCTTCTCACCCAAGTCTCTCTACCTCCCTCATAAATTCCTTCTGAAGGAGAGCTGAGACTATCTTTTATCCTGTCTATTGATTCGGGCATGGAAAGAGACAGCAGGACTTCATAATTCAACCTAACTTTTGATAAATATATTATAGCCATACATCAAGCCAGTCTACTCAGTGTTTGACTTATCCAAAACCACAAATCCTTTCAGACAGCACACTGCCAGACTCATACAAGGTCATCTGTATGATGAACTTGGCAAGACTTAGAAGTCAAGGGAATAGTGTAAACTTGGAGCGTCTGATGTTTAAGTATTGTATTGTTATATGCTATACATGTTTTATTCATGTTATGCTGTACTCGTTCTCTCTTTTAAGTTTTCTGTTGCTGTTGTACTTCATTTTCCTTGTTGTTAGATGGCCGGTGGTGTGTGATCACTTCGGTGTGGTTGGCTCTGGTACTGACTGTGGTTGTGGTGACACTAGTGAGTGTGGGCAGCCTGATCTTAAAGAGCAGAAAACGTAGTGAGTATCACTTCAACAAAACAAATCTAGTCAGGCCCAACAGCCCTTTGGCACATCATGAACGTTTCAACTTGGAATCCATAATTCACAATGCATCCACATTAGATTTATTTATACAGATATATCTAATTTTGGTCTTCTCACTTTAGGAAAGTCCAGTTTGGCCGCATTTGTGCCGGTTTCAGCCAGTGGACATCAGTTCAAAGAGCTCAGGAAACAAGAAGGAAATTGTGAGTGACACTAAAAAGTTTATAGAGTCACAAATATTTTCAATGATTGTGCTGATTAATTCGAACGTTTCAACTTGGAATCCATAATTCACAATGCATCCACATTAGATTTATTTATACAGATATATCTAATTTTGGTCTTCTCACTTTAGGAAAGTCCAGTTTGGCCGCATTTGTGCCGGTTTCAGCCAGTGGACATCAGTTCAAAGAGCTCAGGAAACAAAAAGGAAATTGTGAGTGACACTAAAAAGTTTATAGAGTCACAAATATTTTCAATGATTGTGCTGATTAATTTTCTCATTTTTACTTTCAGTAATGAGAGATGCCCCTGATGTGTCCATAGCAATATGCAGCATAAGTGGTAAGCAAGTGTTTTTGTCTTATGATCATTAGGCAAATGTGTCTTTTTTTAAAGCAACTATTCTTCATTTGTGTAAATAAATATCTTACAAAAAGTACTAGTGCCATGGCACTAAGTTATTGCCATGTCCAAGGAACTTGGAGGACTACCATGAAGGCTACCATGGTATTACCATAAAAACCATGTTCAAAAATATGCTAATGCATACTTTTTTGTGTGTGTGATGCTTTTTTTGTTAGTATTATTTTGAGTTTTAGTGCTTTCGGTGTCCAGTAAAGAAATTGGTGAATAAGTGAACTGGATAAAGGAAACTGGAAAATATATTGACAAGGCATTATACATGTAGATTGCTAATAACACACAGGGTTTGTGTGTCCTATTTTTATATCATTTTTATATTTTCAATTATTTCATAAGTTATTAAAGGCTGATAAATTTCAGTCTCTTTCATCTCTGCAGATGGTGCTGTATTCTCTCAGATCTCTTCAGTGGAGAACAGAACAGACGGTAAACAAACAACCTGTTCTATCATTCCGCACCCAGAAGAGATATGTGCTTTATCACAAAGCTGTGAAGTAGCCTTACAACTTTAACCAGCACTGAGTTTCCTTACTTCTCCAGACCACTAACTCTCAATCTATACTTTCCCAGAACACCTTCTGAAGGTAGCTGACCTCAAGAGAAGTACGTTTTTGGATATTTTTATGCAGTGTGACAAAGTACAATAATTACAGGCGAAGTATCCCTGAATTGATTTAATAATGAAAATTCTGTCATCCTTTATTCACCTCATGCTGTTCCAACCAGTTGACTTTCTTTTTTCTGTGGAATATAAATAAAGATGTTTTGAGAATGTTCATGCTGTTCATTTCCATACAATGAAAGTGAATGGGGTTCAGGGGATGGCAAGCTTTAAAGGGACACAAAAGCACATATTATGTGACTCTTCTGGAGCCATATGATAACTTTGTGTGCCATGGGCTGTGGTCACCATTCACTTTAATTGCATGAAATAGCAGACATTCTGCTAATTCTATTTTTGTTCCCTTTAAGAAACTTTCAATTTTGGTTGAACTATTTCACACACACACACGCACACAACAATGTATGTACAGTATGTGTGTGTAGATATTCACATCCAGTGTATACTGGATGAGACTGTATAAATTGTATCTGTATTTAGTCTCCTATACAGTATATTCCCTTATAGAGTCATGGCCTGTGTGTGTAATATTTTATAATTGTCTCTCATGTTTTAGGAATGTCACCAATCTATGAGATAACAGGTATGAATGTGATGCACAACACATTTACACATTTATGTATATATATACTGTAATACTGTGTATATATATATATAATATATATAAGCAAGCTCTAATCTGCTAAATGCAACCATGTATATGCCTTATAAGGCATTAATTTATCTGTAAAGTTGCTTTAAAGCAATATGTATTGAATTGTTTGAAAAGGGCTATGCAAAAAATAAAATAAATAAATAATAATAAATAAAAAATTGCTTAAAATTTGTTTCCAGAGTCCTCATTAGATGAAGAAGAGCAAAATAAAGATGAGGAAGAGGGGCAATGTAATGTCTCAATAACAAAGGAAGGTAAACATATATCTACAAAACAAACTGTGTGCACTTCATGAAAATGAAAATTATAAATAAAAGATGTGTATTGTTTTCCTCTTTATAATGGTGATAATTTATTAGTTTGGATAAAAAATGCCTCAAAAGTCAAAACCCTCAAGCATGTCATGTGTTTTTTAATATTAAACATAGCATTTGTATGCTTTAAATTCAATGTAAGTGGAGACTTTACAAAGCAAATTAATACTTCAAAAAGATGTCCTCACTGATTTCTTCATCCATCAGCTCATGTAACACTAGACTGATGTCTGATGCTATACTCTTGGCATTTTGATGTCACTACTAGCTCCTATCCAGTATAGCCTGAAACAGTTTTTGAATCTTGCATAATGTCTCATCCGGTCACAATGATGATCACACAAGCTGATGATCGGTAGATCTTTGATGCCAGTATGTTGCTCGGGGCAGAATAAATTACACTACAGATTGCCTCCTGGCTGTCTGATGTTGCCATGTTTCTAGAATTCTACAAGATACATTTTTAAATAAATATTGTTATTTTTACAGAGTTTAAAAAGTCAAATCAGCTCCAACATCTGGCAGCACAGGGCCACTGTGAACCACCAAGTAAGTGACTATGTATGTCTCAGTTACTCAATGAATTATGTAGAAGCAACAAGTATTTTTTGTTTACACTCTTTTCCATTCTGTTTTTTCCATCTCCAGCTTACCTGCATCATCGAAGCTTTTCTTGTTCCGGTCATGAAGAAGACGGGGGAGCTTTAACAATTTAAATCTAAAACCGCGTTTCCACTGCAGGAACTTTCCCCAGGAACTAGGGACTTTGGGCCGGTACTCGGTGTTTCCACCGCAGGAACCAGGATCTAAATAAAGTTCCGGGTAAAAAAAATGCCCCTCAGAAAGTCCCTGCTCGCGAGGTAGTACTTTTTCAAAGTTCCGGAACTTTCGGGGGCGGGACTTGAGCGCTGAACATGCTGATTGGTTGAATTCACGCATCATTGTATTTCAACCATCATTTGCATATATATATTTTTTAATATTACTGTTATTGTGTCATGAAATGTAGTTATAAAAGTATTTCAGGCGAGAATGTAGTTGTTTAAAACTCAAATCTGCGGTTTATTTATAAAAACAGCGCCTATTTGAAAATGTGCTTCGCCGATTTCGGAGACGGGAGCTCCACGCGATCAGCCCAGTAGCCGGCGCTCAGTGCTCATGTTTCCCAAGGAGAGCAGCCTCAACTCGGCTAGTCCTTCTGACATTTTCCGCTGGCTCTGATGTCTCTGTAGTGGATAAACATAAAATAGAATTCGCTTTGGGTAAATCTTAACAGGTAATCTTTGGTCTTTATTCTATTAATCTATTGATATGTTAAAATTAAAATTAAAACAGGCAATGTTTGATATATTTCGTTTCATTGTAATGTAGGCCATGGTTCCCTGAACATTTCTGCTGCTATTAATATGTTTAAATGAAAACGAAAAGGGGCAGTGGTGTTTGATATATTTCGTCTTATTATAAATACAGTGATGAAAATTGCAGTAGCCAAGTACACTGCTGTTTGCAGAATTACCGGACTTCTGTCGTCCCGTCCGCGGGACTTCACACTCCTGAGTCGAACTCACGAAATCCGAACTACGTGTC